AAGATTGGTCTTTAAAATTAGATGATGCGTTATGGGCATACCGGACGGCTTACAAAACACCGTTGGGTATGTCACCATACCGGCTTGTCTATGGAAAATCATGCCACCTTCCCGTAGAACTTGAGCACAAAGCACAGTGGGCACTCTCCAAGCTAAACATTGATTCTCCACTCTCAAAGAAAAGGAGGATGTTCCAAATGACAGAACTTGAAGAACTCCGAAAGGATGCATATGAGAATTCCCGCATCTACAAGGAAAGAGTAAAAGCTTGGCATGACAAAAACATCAACCGGAGAGACTTCCATGTCGGCCAAAAGGTACTACTCTTCAACTCTAGACTTCGCCTTTTCCCCGGAAAGCTAAAATCCCGATGGTCACCGAAGTCCGACCATACGGGTCAATGATGATTCAAAAGGGTGACCAAACACCATTTCTTGGAAATGGTCACCGACTCAAGCCATACATGGAGTATCATAACACCTCGGCAACCACAACTTTCCCATTGGAGGAGTAAAAAGGTACGTTGCGTCCGGCCTATGACGTTAAAATGAGCGCTAATTGGGAGGCAACCCAACATAAAATTTCAATTATAAAGAAATATGCTTAGCTACACAAATATTCATTATTATTTATAATTTAACAAATTATAAATAATTATGTTCATTTAAAAATAGGCATAATTTAGTGATAAGGGTCAGATAGGGCCTCGAACTCAAAAAAATGTCAAATAAGGTCATATTTAGGATGCTCTGTCCGGCCGACGCCATTTGGGGTGGTTCCCGATGGAATTTTTTGATGAAATTTTTTTAGCATCTTCCTCATTAAGTCTAGTTTAAATTACTCATACCAAATTTCACCTAAAAATGCAACCGGGAAGGTAGTCAAATGATTTTCCGAAATGTACGGGGTTGTTTAACTTCACAATTATCTTCAAAAAATCAATTGACTACCTTCCCGGTTGACTTTTTAGCTGCCATTTGGTATGGGTAAACTAGACTTAATGAGGAAGATGCTCAAAAAAATTCATCAAAAAATGGCATCTGGAACCGCCCCAAATGACGTCGGCCGGACAGAGCATCCTAAATATGACCTTATTTGACATTTTTTTTCGAGTTCGAGTCCCTATCTGACCCTTATCCCCATAATTTATTTATTATTGAAAGAAAAAAAAAATCAAACCGGCGCTGGTCCCCTTACCAGCCGGCTCCGGTTGCCCTTAAACCGAAACACAGATCGAAGGCAGTAGCTTAACCGGCGCCGGGTCCCCTACCCTAACCGGTGCCGGGTCTGCTACTTAAAACCCAGACCAGCCGATTTTTGGCCTTACGCAAGAAGCAAAAGCACCCCCCTTCGATCGAGCTCTTCCAACAACGCCACCCCAACACCAAATCCTCCATAATCTTTGAGTTCTAAGCCAAAAAAGTCCAAATCCATCACTCTCTAAGCTCCACAACATCATCTTCAAGCTTCTTCTCCACCAAATCAAGGTAAAAAAAGCTAAAACCCCAATTTTTTCAAAATCTCGAAATTCTACCTTCTTTTTCAATTTTTGGCCGAATTACATGTTTATGATTGATAAAAGTAGATCACTTGTGCTTATATGATGAATGTCACTACAAGAATCTTGACATAATGGGACAATTTTTTTCGTCATGTAAAATTCATTTTTTGTCACTAAAACTCTTATGTGACGAATTATGATCGTCACAGTGATCGTCACCGTAGTTGCGTGGTATTAGGTATATGTGACAAATTTTGAATTCGTCACCAAATAGATACCGTTTAATGACATTTTAACATTTCGTCATCATTAGTAATCACTTTTCATGACGCCAAATGTGTCACCTTTGTATCAATTTTTTTATCATCTAAACATGTATTTTGTCATTAATAATCACACAATAAATGACAAAATCTTAAATTGTCACCATTATTTATCACTTTTCGTGACGCCAAATGTGTCACGGTTATATAGATTTTTTTGTCATCTAAATATGCATTTTGTCACCAATAATCCACACAATAAATGACAAAATCTTAAATTGTCAACAAAACATAGCATAAGTGACAATCATGGTAAACAAAATCGTCATAATTAAGTCACTTTAACATTGTCTTGTTTATAAAGCTTCGTCACTAATTAGAATTACTTTCGTTACAAGTTATTCATATACAGACACATATATATGTACAAAAGTTACAATGTATGAGAAACAAAAAGTGCTTCTTTGATGAAAAGAATTAACATTTAGTAATCCAAATGGTCACAACGTGTGTTAACATTACAAAGCTAACCAAATCTACAATAAACTAATTTTAACCGTCCAATACTCTAACTAAATGAGCTCCATCTGTAATTAAATTTGTTGATAGTCTTCAACACAAGTATCCTTTCTGATGTATCAAAAAAAAGTCTTCAACAAAAGTATATCTTGTTTCCTTGTTGTGTTTGATTAATATACTCCTCTTGTTTTCTTTTCCTGGTCCCTTGGCCTCCTGCAAAAGAAAAATGTAAATATATATCATAAGAACAATTGGCAAGTGAAAAATCAGTTGCTACAAAAGTATAGCGATTCAAACTAGTGTATCCAGAGTAAAAACTGATTTCAAAGAAGCTAGTCATCTTAATCTTGATGTGATATATATAAATTGAGGTGCTCCGAGTACAAGTATTCATTATCTATGTTATTACTTGCTGTCCATAGAAATGAATCCATCCAGTATCTAATTCTTCAAAACCTTGGTTGCTAAGTCACTTGTTCTTTTGCAATTTCTCTATGTACTAGAATCTGAAAAAACGATAAATTATGGAATTATAAGAAAAATCATATTCTATATCCTCATATAACTAAACAATGATGAGGTTGTAATCCATAATTTAAGAAAGTTGAGTTTTATTTGACTTTACTCTTAAGGATTCAAGTGTGAACGCATATTTTTGTGTAGCAGATTAGTTACAAAACGAGTTGTGTTTGTAGAAGGCTAATGGAGTAGAAGAGTCTAAGCAGATGGAAAATGATTCTTTTATGTATCTGAGAATATAACTGGTGCAAGTGCAAAATTAGAAAAAACCCCAACAGCAACCTTCTGTTGTGAAGCTAACTAATCAAAAGAAATACTTCGAGCAAAGGAATACCTTTTATCATGATTGACATCAAAGTCAATAATTGCAGGATAAACTTGAAGTCTCCAAGTTTACAAAAGAGATAATTATATGATTAGAGTCGATAATCAAAAGTTCATTCGTTAATTTATTAGATTTTAACAACGTGGATTCATGGAAGATCTTACCCAAGAAATTTCTCACCAAGCTTTTGAATACTCCTCTATACCAAAATGAAGCCAGTCTTAATCTATAACATCATTTTTTAAAAGTTTTAACTTATCAACTAACAAGTGAGGTAATATATAAACTATTTAGCTTAATCTCTCATAACGTATATTTATTTGTTTTCTTAATCTGTTTTTTCTGTTTTACATTCTTCTTTTCTATTTTCTGTTTTCCACTCCTCTTCTGTGTTACTGCATATGAAGTAGTTTGGTACTCGAGTTGATACACTAAAGGGAATACTATTGTTAGTACTTAGTAGAATCTAATAATCTGTTTGATAATCCAAATATATATTAACTAGTGTGCCCTAAGAATAACGAGGTTGACAAATATGTGCGGATAAGATTCACATACAGAAAATAACAGCACATGTACCCGCAACTAACCTGCCTCACCACTTTGACTAAAAGTGAAGTTACAAAAAAAAAGGCAGACAATTAAGTCAACTAAAATACACTCACTGAGACATACAAACACTTGGAGAAGTTATCAAATCCAGTGTAATTCTGAAACAATAACCAGTCATATACCAAGCCCTACGAAGCAAAGTAGTTTGATAATGAGTTGGATATTAATTAGTTTGCTCCTCGCTAATAACATGCAAAATGTTTAGGCTTCTGAAAATATGATATAAAAGTATTTAAAGAAACATGAGAGAGAGCCACTTACCTGCCCTCCAATAGAATTACAAGGCCCTTTTGTAATTCTAAAAATCAGGAAACTTGACTGCTTAAACCTGAAAATGCATCACCTTCTTCCAGAAGATGTCTGAAGTCTGAACCATATATGAAAATGATCAGCTGGCCTGGTCTTCCTTCTGCGTTTTGAGAATCCCATACAAAATGAGTTTGTTCATCTATTAACTCTTGGCAATGTGAACCTAAAGTAGAAGTGAGCTACTGATTTCATAATCACAGAACAAAGCATGAGTAAGACGTCGATCCCAAACCTTAACCATTTCAAAGTCAAGTGTTAACATTACCTCCAAATCATGAAGATGACCTATGTCTTCTCAATCTTGGCGTCCTCCCTAAAAAATATAGTTTAGAATAATTTCTCATTAAGAAAATCAATTTAAAATCAAAACTGATGTCAATATCAGGTCGGGTTAATCGGATGACTTCATAGTTCATACTTTTAATATAACCATTGTCATCAACTCAAGTCCAATATCATAGTGATATGACAATTATAAGTTTAAAAAAACCGGAATTTGTTTAACTCACAAATAATGCATTTGAAAGGTCTGGGGATTCTGGCAGGAGACAAATTGTAATGTGTAGTTGTATTTAAGAAAAAATGCAAAGAAAGTGGTTGTTGTATTAAATCGAATTTATAGGAAAAGAGAACTTCACTCTCACTTTCTTAAATAAAAGTCAGTATGCTTAGTCCTGGTAATAAAACAAATTCAAGCTTCCCAAATCCCAAACATATTCTATAAAACAAAATGGAATGAAAATATGAAAACTAACCAAAACGGTGATGAGAAGTGTCTGGCAACCAACGAACGAACCGTCGACGACGACTGACTCGACGAGGGCTGGCGGAGACAGAGCGGTCAGCTACAGGGGACAATGACAACGAGGCACGCGGAGACGGAGCGGTCAGGGATGGGGCGGGCGGCGACGGAGTGGGCAGGGACGGGGAAGGCAGCGACGGAGCGGGCGGCGATGGCGCTAGGGTTAACTCGGGTCCGTCGCTTGCGGCTGGCTCTGGTACTGTTCTCGATCGTTTTATTGCTGTCCTTTAACTGATACACAATTTTTGCTTAAAAAAACTCATACAAAGTACAAGTACATACGAAAGTATAATTTACATCTACAAAAAATTGTACTTCTATAAAATTGATATTCTATTTAATATACTCCAGTATTGTTTTGTTTAATAAAAAGAGAAATTTGATTTGCACCTCACTTTTGTGTGATTACTGTGATATTGAATTTTGCATTCTAGTGTGAAAAAACTTTGATTCTACATCTCATTTCATTAAAAAATCTTTTGACTTCGCACCTCATTCATAAATATTTCTTCACCAAATGTTATATAGTGGGGTGGAAAGTCAAAGTTTTTTTAAAAAAGGGATGCAAAGTCCAACATCACCCGAAAAGTGGAGTGTAAGGTTAAATTCGTCTATAATTAAAATATATTCAAACATAAGGTTAATATAACTGTCTAGGACCTCATAATTGTTGTACACGACCCTGATAAAGTCATTGTTATAATCTATTTAAATAACAATAAAAGTTATGTATTAACATAGGAAGTGGAAAATAATACAATATCTCAATGTTGCTATTCATTAATATTAATTTTAGATTAATAGATTTTGATCAAACATTAATCATGATTTTTTGCTAGAAGTATAATTATGACACGTTTACATTAATCATCATGAAAATGGAGCTTGAATGACGAAATAATGTTGTCATTATTTAATATAACAATTAGTGACAAAATATGATTTTGTCATCATAAATAAAATTCTGTGACACAACTTATATCGTCATTAATTGTTGTTAATGTGTCACCAAAACATTTCCCTCCAAAATTTTGACGGCAAAAATTGGCGCAAAAAACTTAAGTGACAAATTTGTTTTTATCGTCATATATTGTATAAATTAGTGACGAAGTTCGAGAGTTAAAGTGACACACAACGATTTTGTCATAAGAAAGCATTTTAAAGTGATGAATTCAAGTTTTGTAACTATTAGTCAATAAAATGTGACAATTTTTTATGTGTGATACAATTTTTTGTCACAAAATGTGTTATTTCTTGTAGTGTGTGAAGATGATTCTTGCCAAAAATTTGAGATTAAAGTTGAGAATTGGGGGAAGTTCTTGCAAATTTTTCATTTTTAACCTTAGGTCCAAATTTCTTGCTTAATTTCAAATTATTTATACAATTGATGAATTGAATGATATTGAAATACTTTGTATTGATATATAAACATTCCACACATCTTAGTTGCATAATTTGTGATTAAACTTGAAATATTGGGATATTAATGAAAAATTTAGAAAAAAATATACCTTGAATTGATGAAGTTTATGGTGTTGTGTGTCTATGTTCTCTTCTAACCTTGCAGGATGGCTCCGAAAAGAAAAGCAAATGCCGGCGCATCATCTTCCTCTTGTTCCAACAACACTCGTTTCACCACCCGTGCCAATGAGGAGTGGTACGAGGAAAGGAAGAAGTGGAAAATCGTGGAAGAAAAAACTGTACACTCGGATATCGATGCGGATTTTCACCTCACTGAAGTGTTCGCCCGGTTTGGATGGGCAATGATGCTAACTTTGACCGGAGCATATTATCCCCGGTTGGTCCGGGAGTTTTATGCTAATATCACCGACAAAGAAACCGGATTCGCGGAGATCCAAACAATGGTCAAAGGAAGAAACATCAAGGTTGACCCGGAACTCCTCTCAAACATCCTAGAGATAAGCAATGCAGGCCCCACTTTGGAGTACAATCAAAGTGGCATTCTTAGTGACAAAACATACAATGAGGTGGCGGCAAGACGGTTCTTTGGGCTCGAAACAAGCTTTAATACCAAATACTTATGGGACATCCACACACGCCTCATTGTCTATCTCATTGGTTTCAACATCGTTCCCCATGCTAGCGACCGCCACAAAGTCCGAAAGATTGATCTTTACCTTCTTCAAAAGATGCTAGTCGGGCTAGGGGATATAGAAGGAATACCACTACCTCGCCTCATCATCAAAAACATGAAAACGGTGGTACTCTCCAAAAAAGGTGAAAAAATTTTTTGTCACCCTCTTTTACTCACTAAAATTTTCAGGCACTTTCGGGTAGACTTTGATGGTGAGGAAGTTGCGTACACCACCAAATCTAATGTTTTGGACAAAGATACTATGGGTGCACTCAAATACAAATTGTCCAACTCCGGGAAATGGTATTTCCCCGAAGGCATTGGTTTGAAGAGAGATGGCAATGTGTCGGAAGAGGAACGTGAAGATGAAGCCATGGAAGATGCTCACGATGATGACGTTGCACCCGAACCACTGGTGCCACCACACACTACCGACCCCGCACTAGCATACTTGGTTCATTCCATGGCTCAAATGCACACGCGGATGGACGAGCAAGAAGCACGCCAACAGAGGTTTGAGGAGCGGTTCGACATATTCACCAAATACTACTACTCCCAACATGGGTATCCCCCTCCCGATCCACACCATTGACTCCCCCTTGCTCTTATTTCATTTTCCCATGACATTACTTTCCTCTAAACACACTTTTGTTGTGGATGTTGTTGAAAGTACTTGTTTATCATGCATAATACATTAAGACAATGTATTATAAGTGTGGGGGTGCATCTCATGGGTGGTTAAAAACAAATTTTGTATGCAAAATTTTTTTTAGGAAGGTAAAATTGTCATATTTCTCTTTTTAAAGGGTATTTGGTTGAGAAAGTTTTTTTTATTATTTACAAAAGTTATCATTTTCTTTAGACTACTCTTTACTCTTGAAAACTATTCCAAAAAAAAAGTATTCTTGTGACTAGAAAACATCTTCTTCCTTCATTTCCAAAAAATGGTCAATACTACATTCAAGCACCATTTTGGAACACAAAACCCATTCTCACACCTCATCAAATAAATTGGCATCATCAAATGACTTTCAGTAAATACTAGTTGAAGACCTTTTTTTCAAATGAGTTAAAAAAAAATCAAAAGTAAATAACTCATGGTCTCAATTTAGTAGTTCAATTGATTCATACAACTGAAAGTCGAAAACACACCAAAAAAGCCATCCCACTCACCCAAAAGAGTCACAGTCACAAATCACTCCTTTATTCTCAAGAGTATTAGCAGTTTTCTAAATCTAAATGATACTTTTTGTATTTAATAAAAAAAATTGGTTTTTGGACCGAGAATGAGAAAAGAGTTTATATGCCACTTTTACCTCTCTTAAAATTTATTTATTTTTGTATATGTCTTTGTTGAAACTAACCCAAAGCGTACAAGGTGACAACATTGCTCGAGGACTAGCAACGCTTAAGTGTGAGGGAATTTGATAAGCACAGCAATTATCTATATTTTATATAGGTAATTATGATTATCTGTACAAATTTTCAAAGATAAAACAGATAAAAATCCCAATTTGAGCGAAATCGCACTTAGACGTCAAAAATGAAGAAACGAGAGTCAATGGGGAAAAAGGGACCAAGAACCGGCACATCGAGGTCAACAGCGGGCGTCAAACGGAGCAAAAAAGTGAAGAAAACACAAAATGGGGTTAACCGGCGCCGGTCCACTCCATAACCGGCGCCGGTCTGTTGTTTTTTCGCACAAATGACAATCCAGTAGCTTAACCGGCGCCGGGTTGCCCTTATAACCGGCGCCGGTTAGGCCATTTTTTCAGCTATTCCTGTGCTCAGTGAAGAACCGGCACCGGTTAGGTATGAAACCGGCGCCGGTTAGGTCCGATTCTGCATAAAACATAAAGACGTGCAACTATATTTTGATGGGAAAACTTCACCTTCTTCATGATCTGATCAAATATCTCTCCTATGCCTAATTGCTAGGCTTGAATAGACTAAAAGATGCTAATCTTTAGTCTATATAAAGCCCCCAATTCATCAAACAAAATCATCAATCCATCCTTGAAGCTTAATTTTCAGTTTTTATATTTTATTTTTGCATTCTCTTGAAGAGTTGGGAAAGAAGCCATTTCTCTCCTCTACAATTGGTTCTAGGTATTATTTCTTGTATGTTATTGTATTTCCTTTATCTTAGTTACACTTTTGTAATTAATATGAGCATTAGAGGCTAAGTTCTTAGCTAAGGCTAGGGATGAACTTCTATGCCCACTAGGTGTTTGATAAAAGTTTTAAACCAATAAATTTGTGATTTATCCTTTACATTTTGATTGTTTATGACTATGGTGTACAACATAGAAATATGTTAAACTTAGTTTATGCTTGCAATTAACGTTGAGGTCTAAACTATGAACATTAAAGGATAAACATATATATTACCGAGAATAGAAATATATCTGGTATTATATGATACGGGTGTGATGTCTTGATATTCAACGGGGTTTTCGGTAGATGAATGTAAGCCGTAACGGGACTTACACGTAACGAAAACCACGCTCTCGCTGCCTTAACCGGAGTTGAGAGTATATTAGCGACATCGTATTCATAATTATTGGTAAAGAACTAATATTCAACCCTATTAAAGCATTTAAGTGATTCCCGAAGCCTTAGTTGTTGTTATCAATCACTTTAATCAAATTAAATTAAGTTATATCTCTGAAAATTAAAAAGAAGAATCAAGTTGTTGTTTTCACAACAACACACAACTCAAAATCTCTGCACTTTTACTCATTTATTAATTTAAAGGCATCTACTCTCGGACTAAATTAAACAACGTTTCCCTGTGGATTCGACCCGGTATTTTACCGGAATTTATTACTATATCGGCACTTGTACACTTGCAAGTTCAAACCGATCAAGCAAGCAGGATCAAAATGAAGAATTGAGCAGTGATGAGGATCTATCAACCTCACCAAGGCAGCGGCCTGCCAGAAACCGGAGAGCACCAAATAGGTATTCACCTTCTAATTTCTATTTGTTGCTTACTGATGGTGGTGAACTGGAGTCCTATGCAGAGGCAGTTCGGGTTGATGACAAAGGCCGTGAAGTGGATCATGAGGTATTTGAAAGGTACTACTTCTAATGCTTTGTGTTTTGATGGGAAGAATGTAGAGCTGCTAGGACATGTTGATGCAGACCTGGCATCGAATGACTCGGATGGATTGAGGAGCACCACCGGGTATGTTTTTACATTTGGTGGAACGGCAGTTTCCTGGCTTTCGCAGGTGCAGAAGATTGTTGCATTATCTACCACTGAAGCTGAATATGTGGCCATTACGGAGGCAAGTAAGGAGATGGTGTGGCTTTAGAATTTACTTGGGGAACTTGGAAAGGAGTACAAGAATAGCATTCTTTACAGTGACAGTCAAAGTGCTATCTTCTTGGTCAACAACTCAGCTTTTCACAAGAGAACCAAACACATTCGGTTGAAGTATCACTACATCCGTCATCTTCTGGAGATAGAGGCATTGCTGCTTGTGAAGATCCGTGGGAGTGAGAATCCAGCAGACATGTTTAATAAGGTGGTAACCTTGGAGAAATTGAAGCTTTGCATAGCTTCAATTGGCCTGGGTACTTGAAGATGAAGGTCGGCGCTACCATGCTTACAAGGGAGGTTTGAAGAAGACAGTCTCTAGGTGGGAGATTGTAAGGTGTTAGAGACAGTTTCTTGATTTATTTTTGGAAACACGTTTCTTAATTTATTTTAGGAAACACATCCTAGTTGCCTTGGGGTTAGGATTTACTTCTCTATAAATACAAGCTCTCTCCTTTGTAATCATTGTGTGTAGATCCGAAAATAGCAATAATATTCCTGGCTTGGTAGCGCCCTTAAACATAGTCATTCGTGGCGAACTGGGTTACCAAATTTTCGTGTGTTCTTATTATTCATCGCGTGCGTGAGTTTAAATTCCTAACAATATTGACATTTTACTGTGTACTTGAGTATAGAGAAAGTACAACAATATGTTTGTCCCGTGCATCGCACGGGTATAATACTAGTATATATAAAAACACAACTGTGGAACACAACCATGTAGAAAACCTGTTTCCGCCTAGAGACTTATGGCAGGATTTGCACACACGTGTAATAATAAAGTATTCAATCAAAATTAGTTATTCCAAAAGCTAATACCCACGTAATAAAAATTGTGCAAACATGTGGACAATTGAAATGAACTGTCAAGCCCAGTGGCATAATTGAACATGATTTTGTTTCAATATTGTGCATAAAATCTAAAAATCCTTAATGTCAGTGCTCTCAATAGAGAATGTTTGATATTCAATGAAAATGTTTTGATGCTCAACTAATAAAGATTATGATTTTCATATCATTGATCATTTGGTAAGTTATGTATGCTTATTTGGTATTGATGTTATGCTCATATTTAAATGTTATATCAATACATATTTCAAAAGTAGCATATTACATTAGATTCAAGTAGGAGTTAATTACATATACGAGAGCACAAACCATGATACTCAATTGCATGTTTGTGATACTCAATAGATGAGATTTGATGCTCAACGAAAATGTCTTGATGCTCGATCAACTAAAAAACTTATGATTTTCTTACTAATGCGCATTTTATAATTTACCTGTTACTGGGCCGGCTGTACGGTGAGCACCGTACAGCCGGTTGTACAATATACGTACTCAAGTGTAGTTTTACTCATACCAAATTTGAACTAAAACTTCAATCAGGAATGCATTCAAATTAATTCTTGAAGATAATTGTGCAGTTAAAAGCGCAATTATCTTTTGGTTTCACTGCTATATACAGATTCTATAATTATGTCTTCATGTGACGATCTTTTTTATCACTGCTAACTTGTCGTGATTCTTGGGACAATTTTCTCATAAATTATTTCAACAATGTTTGATGTACCCACTCTTATACCCACCTTATACCCACCATGTTTGTGAAATGTTTTTTTTCTGTGAACTCGATTCACACACAATATTTTAATTGTGCAAAAATTGTCTATGAACTGGGGTTCATAGACAAAAAAACACTTCACAAACATAGGTGGGTACAAAAGTGGGTATAAGAGTGGGTACAAACATCGGGGCCGTTTGGAGTCATGAATTTGGGCTGAAAAGCCTGAAAATACAAAAATAAAGCCAAACACCATCCCAGTGGGCTGTTTGGGCTGTTTTATCTTATCAGCCGAAAAAGTAACTACCTAATGTATCCGTTGTATTAATGTATTAATACAAATCCGTTTTATCGAGTGGGTTACTTTTTGAGCTAAAACGTATTAATGTATCCGTTGCTGACCTAAATACATGTTTACCCTTTTATTTTTGCATCCTGTTTGCTTGGCCATAGCGACGAGAACCTCTTGGCTGCGCGTACTTTTGTCCAAATCGATGACTTACTGCTCGACTGCACCCTAGTTTCAGCCTTCCAGATCCACAAATTCTTGCTTGGATTCTCTATATTCATCTAAAGGTAAGTTGACCTAGCCTCTATCTTCTTCATCTTCAATTGTGTGTTACCATGAATTCTTACTCGACTGTGAAGGACAAAACTGTGTTTTTTGTGTCGTGTTAACTGGATTTTTTAGATAGTTAGCTTTGTGCTTTCCCCTTTGACTCATGTGACTCAGAGGTTACTGGTTTATTATATTACTCCGAATTTAATTTTCAGGTTTTATAGTTTCAGAATTTTAATAATCCTTTAGTGATTAAGATAAGCCCTGTGACATATACAATAGTATACGTAACCGTTCTTTGATGCACATGGTCTAGAGAAGGTCGTAACTTTTCTTTCATGTACATGGTCTAGAGAATCCTAATGCTAAATAACAATGACACTCGATTTTAATGCTTAGCCACAGCCCTACCAAAATTAGGGGTAAAATACGACTCACAGTTTCAGACTCTATTCTTTAGTTCCTCACAAAGAGCTGAAAAAGAAGTTGCATAGTTCCTCACATGATAAAAACATTAGTTCTCGGTACTGTTAGTTTCAGACTCTTCCATTTATGCTATAGTACCTCACAAAGAGCTGAAAAATAAGTTACACAGTTTCAGACTCTTCCATTTATGTTGTTTCTTTATTTCTTCAAACTGATACATGGACTTTCATGATAGAAACCTGCACTGAAAAGTTAAATGTCATGAATTCTAAAATAGGCTTCACAACATAGTAAGCAACACCCACTTCAATCCCAGTAAATCTAGCCTACACATGCATACAAAATGTTTTAAAAACTTATCTGTTATTATTATACAATAAACACTAAAGCAGGTTATTCATAGGTGCATGAGGAGTAACCTCAGTGATAGGTGTATCAAGAACTAAGTTATAAAAGAAGATAAGAGTATAATGCACATACTGTGCAAATCTAAAACGATGTGGGATAGTATAATTAAAAATCAGTTTGGTGTTATCATTTTATTATTTGTAATACAAAAGTAGAGTTTTATGTAGTTCCTAGTTCGGATAGTATGAAATGTCAGGTAGTTCATATGTAAAGTTCTATGTAACATGAGGTAGTGCTATGTACTCCTAATTATAAGCCTCATCACACCCCTTTATTGTGAAAGCTTAGGCAATTTAATAGAATTGGCATGCCTTATTGTTTTGTTGGTAACAAGTGGCCTCACTTAACTGGTTCAATCTACCAGTCTCTAATAAACATGGCCTTCTAAAGCTACTGAAAGTATACCAATACTTTTAGTGATAACTTTGTTTAAAGCAGTACCAATTTTGATACTTTTGATAGAAATATCGCACTATGTAACATAATATTTATGTTTACCACATGTGGGTTGAGCTAGATTGATAAAATGAAAATGAAAGATGCCATAGCTCGTGCATAAGTATAATACATGTATTTGTAATACTTGTATATTTGTGTTGTAGATTATGAAGGGTAATGTTGAAAAGGAAGTGTGTTTTATGTGATAATGGTAGCACTGTAAAAGACAAATCAAGACGATCTCATAGTTGGCCGCTTCTTCATTTGGGTGTTGTTTCTTCTTTCTGCCCGTCTTCGAGCGAGGTAACTTATTAAACATTAGTTAAAGTGTTATATATTTTCATGTACCTCATTTACCGATCATATGATAGATCCTAAAAACTACTTCATTTGAAATTAATATGTGCATTAGATGAGTAGCAACATACCTGATATGACAGACTCATATGAGTCTCGATGTGCAAATTGGTCAGATCGTGAGGTTATTAGTTTTCTTGAGGTGTGTACAAAGGAGTCATTGGAAACACATCGCAAAAACCAAACATTTAGTAGTGAGGGCTGGAAAGTAATTGAAAAAGAAATGTCCAAACTGAGGATGCCATACTATGTCAAACAACTCCAGAACAAATTGAACCTATTGGCTCGCCAATATACTACATGGGACAAGTTAGTTCGCAAGGAGACTGGTATAGGCTGGAATCCGGAAACAAACACTTTTGCGGCCGATGAGGAATGGTGGGCTTGAAAGGCAATGGTAATTTGGTCTATACTACTCTATGAATTTTTTAAATAAAAATTGTATTGTTTTTAAATTGTGTTGGTACTTAAATTTATATTGTTTATTTGTAGGGAAACAAAGAAATTGCAAAATTTAAAACATGTGGAACTTGTTGTGGTTGACATTCCGTGGACATACGGAACATGTGCAACATGAATGTTCTGCAGCTAACATTTTGGCTGAAGAAGATGATGTTTACATACCAGAACAAGCCTCACAAAATATCCCCGAAGTGAGACTGTTTAGTGAGTCTGATTTCATGACTTATTTACAAATGTTAAGGAAACCGGATTCCTTGATGATGTTCCATGTGAGCCAACTGGGATGTCATTAGATGCGACAGACAGTAGTGGTAAGAGGAAACACGTTGTTGGACCTAGAGAAAGTGCTAGCAGTGGTTCTATAACTAAGAAGGGAAAGATGAGTGGTAAAGGTAAAGGAAAGCAGAAAGTTGCTCAAATGGAATCAGAAATACAAGGCTTTCAGAAAATGTATGAAAAAGGAATATATTGTTACAACAGTATTTTGAGAGAGAAAACGAGTTTGGTCTATCTGAGGTGATGAATGTATTTAGGACCTTACCAGGTGTGGTTGAGGGAGATGATTTCTGGTTCAAAACATCAATGGTTATGAAAGAAAAAGGAAACCGAGAAATGTTCATGATCCAAACTACACCCGAGAATAAGCTCAAATGTGTGCACATGCTTGTGAATCACATGTGATAAGTACTTAGTAATCTCTAATGTATCACTTTATTCAGGATATTAGTTATATGTATTTCCCTTAAATTTCTAGACAATTTATTTGTTGTTGAAGTTAGTACTTTTATTTCATTTCATTGATTTTCAAGTTTGTAATGTAAGACATAAGTGTGTTATGGTACACTATTTTTATTTGAAGTTATTTTATTGTTAACATGATTATCTATTTTGTTTTCTTATAGATATTCAACGTATTGCTATGGAAAATACTCTGTTTGAAGCATGTTTCTTGGTAGATGATGTGTCACGCCCTGGACCGCATCCGTGCCACGTATACAATCGTCGTACAACCCAATAGGAACAACGTCGTTCATTCTTATTAGATCATACAAGGCGTCCGTTAGATTCCATTTCCAAACCGATTAGTAAACCCATACAATCAACATCAATATATATATATTAGTCAAAAAAAATGCGGAAAATAAGATAAGTTTGATACTTAGCCACACGTGGCAAATACGGACACGCAGGCCCCCAAATGTTCTAATGGAAAACATTGTTAAAAATATCCATGAGAAGTTTATCAACTTGGAATAAGAATGGAAGCACGAACCACTTCTTCCTCCTTGATCAATCACCCTAGGCGAAGGTGCAGGTAGTAGGACTCTAGCCTCAACCTGAAAAATGTGAGGGCCCCCGAAGGGGTCAGTCCTACATAGAAGTACTAGTGACAAGCAGGCTATATGTGGAATAACTAATGTTTCAGACACGAGACCCAAAAATAGGGTGATACCTATATTTATAGGTGTAACCATTGTTACCCCATCCCCAAGATAATACATATCGTATATACTTGTAAAATACTTGACCCGTAGGTCGTTTTATCACAAGAGTCTTTTAGAGGTGAGGTAATTACCCAACCTTTCCCATTCCTTCCCGAATGCCTAGCTCACGAGCTACATTCTACCTTCATAATATCCTACCGAGTTTCAGGAGTGTTTACCCTCCCGAGGATACTCAACCCCAACCGAGTTTTGGGATCATCATTTACCGTCCCGAGGATGCTCAACCTCAACCGAGTTTTAGGATTGTTTACCGTCCTGAGGATACTCAACCTCACCGAGTTTTAGGATTGTTTACCGACCTGAGGATACTCAACCTCACCGAGTTTTAGGATTGTTTACCGTCCTGAGGATACTCAACCTCACCGAGTTTTAGGATTGTTTACCGTCCTGAGGATACTCAACCTCACCGAGTTTTGGGATCATTTACCGTCCCGAAGATACTCAACCTCAACCTTATTTCTAACCAAACCCTAACCTGGATATGACTAACCTTTTGTTCACTTAACTATGGACAATACCTAGTCCTATAGTCATATAATAATCCCTAGTAACCAACGTGGGCGGGTCCCACTTGAGTTACCCACGTTAACCTGCTCAAAACTGCCTGTTTTGGGTTTAGTCCAATACCTGGTCGGGTATCCGACCTTACCCGGCCGGGTAGGACGGGGCAGTAGCCCCTGGAGTCAACTTTACTTGAGACCCGGTTGGGTCTATACCCATACCCGGTCGGGTCTGGTGTAGCAGTGGCTTCTGGAGCCATTTTTAATCAATACCCGGTCGGGTATTGCCCATACCCGGTCGGGTATTTCCTTTGTCTCGGCGGTCAACGCCCATTTGACCGCCCAAACGAAGTTCGATTAACATGAAATTTTATACACATGTACTCCTTGAAGTCCTTGATCCAAAAATACCTGTTTGGTCATTGGAACATCATACATATCAATTTACATTAATTTCACTAATCAAACCCACATTTCATGCTTTCCAACTATGTTATAGTTCTTAACATAACATAACACATTCTTTAATACCATTAATCAATTCATAAAACATATTCTTGATTAATTTAGGTAATCTCATGCCTCACGCAAAAGTTATAAAGCATATAGCTGTCTTCTCACCTTAAAAGAAGCTTATGAAGTTCTAGCCTTTCTTATTGAGCTCCGGTGAAACTCCGGTGAACTTCAACTAACTCCGGCGACAACTCCGGCGACCCTTTCGACCCCGTGAAAGTCCTTGAAGTACCTTATACAAGTTAACCACAAGGTTTTATCATCATAAAGCCCATATCAACACAAATAACCTCTAAAAGGTTATTTTCCGCCGACCCGGTCAACTTTGTTCTCTAAATCCGTTTTGGATATGAACCAACCTTCCAACCTCTCATTCTTCACATATAACATGTAGAATGATCTTGGGGGTATGAAATATGATTAAGGAGAAGAAATGAGGTGGGTGAAGTCATTATCTTGTTAACCACAAGCTTTCCTTCTAATTTTCTTCTTCCTCTTCTCCCTTTTTCCTCCCTTCTTCTTCCTCTTGCTTTGTGCGTGAATGAAGGATGGAAATGGTGGTTTTGCAGACCTTCTCTCTTCAAGGATAATGGCTTGGACGAGGTTGATGGGCTAGGGTGATTGAAAATGTCTCCTTTGGCTTATTCCTCAATAATATGGGGGAGAGGGACCCCTTTTCTTTTCAAATTGTTCTTAAATCATTTCCTCCCCCATTCCTCATGCTTAGGTGCGTCTCACCTTGAGTTCTTTCAGGCCAAGGACGTGGGTTGGCCCCCACTTATGTGGGTGGTCATCCCTTTGTGACCCGGAATGTATATTTGGCCCCGAAAGTTGTATTTTTCGGACTGTTTTAACTATATTTCGTTTTATCGGGTAAAATGAAATATCTCTCCCTCTTCCAATTATTATTGGCTATAAGAATGAATGTATATTACCCAACTTTTACCTTGGTGGTCTCCATAATTCGTTATGACTTGTTATCTGATATTACTTCGGTACTGATAAATGGGCTTTATATGCCCAAACGGTTACTCGTATAATTTCTATGGTCCAACAAGGATGTCCACCATTATACACATATTATCTTGACCCAAACGAATATAATATGTGGTCCCGTTAATATCGAACGGCCCCCACTCCCGGTGTGGCCCCACGTGAATTTTACTATTCACGTAAAAGAAATCATAAAATTTACAATCACGTAAAAATGCGTTTACTCATTTCTCAGGGTCAATACACAATTTGATAAAGTACAATTACTTGGGGGTGGTGTTACATGATGTGGAAGATGAGCTATGGGATGGTATGATAAAGTCTATGACTACTCGAGTTAGGTCTTACATTTGTCGTGTTAATAGGCAACCATGCTTTAACTCATCACACACAGGAATGGTATGGTTGAGTGAATTTTTTAAAGGTCATGAGAAACGATGTATCAATGCGTTTCGAATGAAACCATCCATGTTGAATGCGTTGGTAGAAATAATGACTATTAAATATGGGCTAAAAGGATCAATGTATACGACCAATGTTGAAAGGTTTTGCTTAAGTATATATATCATGGCTCATGGGCATTCAAATAGAGAACTCCAGGAAAGATTCCAACACTCCGGTGAAACTATAAGTCGAATATTTGGAATTGTGTTGGATTGTTTGATGACGTTTTCTAAGGATATGATTGCACCTGTTGACCCCGTATCCTCCGGTGAAACAGAGGATATGGTTGCCTAACGAAAGATATTTACCGGTAATTAATTACCTATTATACTTGTAATTTATACTTAATAATGAGCGCACTCTTCAAGTGAAAATTGTGTTGAATTTAGGATTGTATTGGAGCTATCGATGGTACTCATGTTCCAGCAGTTATATTTGAAGAGAAAAAAGATATGTGGCACAATCGTAAAGGATTTATTAGCCAAAACATCATGGCAACTTGTAGCTTTGATCTTTAATTTAAATTTGCCGTTCCGGGATGGGAAGGATCAGCTCATGATGCTAGAATACTACGAGAGACACTAGAGAATCCCAGCTTGGGATATCCCTATCCCCCACTTGGTATGTTTTAAATTTATGTGTGTCGTGATACAACTATTTACTAGGGCTAATTATTCAATGTTTATTTATTTAGGTAAATACTATTTGGTAGATGCGGATTACTCTATTCAAGAAGGTTTTCTGCCGCCACACCGTAACACTAGATACCATCTGTCTTCTTTCAATGGAGAGAGGTCGAACTCGGGAAAAGAGTTCTTCAACAAAAAGCATTCATCGTTGCGTAGTTGCATTGAGCGAACATTTGGTGTTTGGAAGGCAAGGTGGTGTATCCTTAGATTCATGCCTTCTTATCCTTTTAAGGTGCATGTCAAAATTATCTTAGCTACCATGGCACTACATAATTTCATCCGGCGATACTC